ATTTTTACGACTCGTTATTCATTTCAAAACATCTTATAAATATCACTACAACAATCAATTAATTTAATTACAAAATCTCTATATTTTTCCCTCATGGGTTATAAAGCAGATTTTACATTGGACATCAAGTGGAGAGCCAACGTGGTACAAGAGTTTTAAAATAGTTTTTAATGTTAAAAAAAGTTATTAAAATCAGAATACCATGAAGTGCACAGGCCCAACAATATGCAACATGACTAACAAAAAAAAGGGCAGAATTTCAAACTCGCCAATTTTGTATATTCATAAACAACGGCAGAAATGTGATTTATAATCATTATAGTTGGACTGTTTGCTTTCTAAATGTCAACTGGATTTGGTTTCATGCTCTTCGGTTATTAATTCACAGCACATAACACAATGTGTTGTTTATCCTCTTGGCAAGTGAATGTGTATTTAACGTTTGGGTTGTATTATCTTGCATAGTTTTGTTTATGGTTATCAAGGATGAGGGCATGTCAAGCACCCCGTCTGTGTTGGCATCTGTATAATCTAACGGCTTCTACCAAGTAAAAGATGAATTTGTGCCAAAAATACAATAGAGTTTGAATGGGCACAGACTTTGAAATCAACAACAAAAGACCCGTTTAAATGTTGCTATTCTATATGCACAATTATTTAGCTGAATTGTATTATTTGCATTAAGTATTGTTTTTGTTTGTGACCCTTTTGGGACAGATTTGCAGGCTCCCCAGTGAAAAAATATTGCTCTAATTAAGCAGTTCTACAATTATCTAATATATATATATATATATATACACACACACACTGTAAAAAGTGATCAGTTGACTTAACTTGAAACCCATTGCCTTATTAGTAAATAAACTTCATAAGTTATGTGCCTTTTACCTTTTTTGTTTTAAATTAAGTCGCTTTTTACTGTGTATATATATACATATCTTATGTGTGAGCCTATAACAGGTAATAATCCAATTTAAAGATGTAAACAAATGTGAGAATGAAAACAAACTTACACAAGAGCTTTTGGGCTCTGTATTCAACTTTGTGCATTTTAATCGTTGTGCATGTTCTGGCATACAATCTTTTGCAGGTATATTCATTTCCTTTGAAATCACAAATCAATTGCTTGAAAAAAGTTGAAAATAAAAACCATGAGTGAAATGGTTCAAAACTCTTTTATTTATTTTTATTTTTTTTATCTTTTCCAGACAAACACATTGATTTCTGGACCACAGTAGAGGATGGAAACCTTTCACAAACATTTTTTATTATTATTATCATTATTATTTGAAAATACAAATATAAAATTATACTTTCCACATCTGAGATGTGAGAGACCCCCATCCACTTTAGTTTATTTTACAACAGGGCTTGAGCAAGCCATACAAGAAGACCTGAAAGATGCTTTCAGACGTCAGTCCGTTCAGTCAGTTCTCACGGTAAAAAGTCCGTTAACATTAAAAAATGGGCAAGTGTTAGGAATGGGCAAGGCAATCAGCGAGGCCTAAACCTCAGGAGAAAATGGGAGACAGAGTTCCCAAAGGACGTGGCAAAAATAAAACCCTCCACCTAATGACACCGCATTGACCGTACCGTCCCCATTGAGCTACACGTCCTCGTCAGGTTTACGCGACACATCCTGCAGCTAAACTACTAGTGCTGCAGCTCTTACACGACACACAGCCAGAGAAACAAACAGTGTGAACTGGCGTCAGTTCGCCTACGATGATGAAAACTATTTAACAAAGAGATATATACACTATACATATATATCTTGTATATGGATACAAGTATACTGTACATCAGACATTACAGTGTAGGACGTTTTGCTGCTTTATTAGTGGGATGATCGTTTTGGCCATTGCCTAGCACTTGCCGCAAAATTCAAGTTTAAATGGATACGGTAGTTCACTCCCAAAACCACTCGACACCTTCCAGGTCATTTTCTTTTTTCTTTTTCTTTTTTTTTTTTTAAACCAACAATTTTCCAATGATTTAACTAGTCTAGCAAGATGTGTAACATTCATCCGCTGTAAACTGCTGTCCATGGAAAACAAAATGGTGGCAACAGAGCCATGCTACCTTAAAGTCCAAGCTACGAGATCAAATTACGGGGAAAAAAATAGGCTAAGCTAACCGACGAAATGGAAAAGATTGCCAGCCTTCATTTTAATCAGCTTTCAGTCACACTCTTATTTGACAGCAGAAGGGAAATGTACTTCATCTGCTGTTAAACATTTGCCCTCAGCGGTTTAATCGAGGATCATCTAAATCTATACGAGTAACAAGACCTACATGGATGCTGGATACTGAACTTTTTAAGAGACATCCAACTAATGTTACAGTTTAAAAAGATGTCATCAGTAAGAAAATGCTGTGCATGATTCATCCCGACAGCACCTTTAAATTTAGCTCAAATGTATTGAATAACTTCAATTAGACACCTTTCATTAAAAGTTGTGCTATTTACTGATCATAACCCGCAAGTGTTACAAAAATCTCCTTTGCGAAGGTGCTACATTGGCTCATGTTTGATATCCCTGAGAAGAGATGTGATTCAGGAATACAGATTCAGTGTGACACTGGATTCACACGAGTCAATGACGTTGAATTAAAATGAAAAGCTGGCAATGCAATTAAAAAGCACAAAATAATCATGTCATATGTTCCACATGACTCAAAACTAAAGTATGTATTCATCTACGCAGACACGATAAAAAAAGTTTTTTTTGTTTTTTTTAAAGTTCAAAAACCTATTAGTTTGATCTATAATGATTAGGCTATATCATCACCATTACTTTGTTAGAACTTACTAAAAAAATATTTATGAATATCTTCATAATTATAGCTTGCATCCCCCTTAAAAAAGAATGAAAGTGAAAACGGTTTTGCATATCTAGCGTTAGCATTTAAGGTAGTATGGCACACACCCCTTTTAAAACATTCAAGGGTGGGGATCCAATTAATGCCTTGATTACAATTCAGTCGTACAGCAATTTCTTTCTCCTAGATTTCATCAGTGAGAGCTTTGGTTAGTTGAAACCATGTGAGACCAGCAAAACAGTGGAACAAAAAAAAAAGGAGAACAAAAAAGAAAGAAAAAAGAAAAAGAAAGGAAAATTACTATGAAAAGAACGCTCAGCATTTTTTGTCTTTTGTCTTTAAATGATTATAAAGAGAAAGTTCTATCCTTACTGGTCCTACAATTGCTAATGAATACGTCTACATCTTAACATTAAGTACATAACACCTACGACTACTCACTAAAGAGAGAGTGTGAGATATAGAGAAAGGGGAAAAACGACAAAAGGAGAGTGATAGGGCAGGGGAAATGTGAAAAATACCAACCAAGAAGTGTATAGACCACTACACTGGCATCAAGACAGCACTCTTTTACAAGGTAAAGTCATATTCCTGTATTTTTTTTGTTTTGTTTTTTTGTTTTTTTTACACACTACTAAAATACAATGATCAACATAAGATTACTGAATGAGGTGACAGGGAATGAAGAGAAACAATTGATAAATACAGTACATAATATCTGTATTATTGTCATTGTTATATTTAGTATAATCATTAACATCCACAAAAATATTGATAAAAATCCATCCCTATTTAAATTGAAAAGAAGTTCGGGATAATTTTCTTTCTTTCTTTTTTTTTTTGCACGTTTGTCTTTTTTGAAACAGCTCAAACAGTTAGCACACAGTTCTCCTTGTCTTTTAAAAATCATATGACTTTATCACATCTTTCTTGAGAAAGAATCCAGCATTCTGCCTCGCCTGTTAGTTTAGTGAAATGAACAAACAGAAAAACGAAAAAGAAAAGCAAAACCCCCAAAAATAAATAAAGAAAAATCAAACATTTTCAACAAGATCGAAAAAACAGCATACATCAGTCAATTCATATTTGTAAATATCATTCATATTTCTAAATGCCATTTGCGTCTCATCAAATCCAGTCCCCACGTGTACAACAAATGTGTGTAGCAGCTATACTGGTTTCAATCAGTTTCAGTGTTTCTGAGGAAATGAACTATTGCTACCAATAAACTCATCTGTCATCTCTGATATTCTAGAATAAAATCCCTGGAAAGAGATCATTTAAAAGTACAGTCTTCAAATCAACGCAAGCCAAGACTCGAGATTTGTAAGCGTTATCCTGCGTGGAAGGAAAGAAAGAAACGGCTTCCACAGCAGTCCTTCACATGACCCATGCTAGAGACTGTCAGTTGACATGTGCAAATAGAAAATGATAAATTCTCTCTCACAGTGCAATGATTTACTTAATTTCAAAACAACACTTTAATATCTTTTTTCAATATCTGTCTCAGGCTAAAATAAATTAATTTGTAATCTCCTTTAAAGTAATTCTCACAGGACTGAGGTAATGGTATAAAAGACTTGGTTTTCCTAATCGTAGAGCAATTTCAAAACGTTTTGAAATATTGCCTTTGTAATATTCGAATCGTTCGGCGTAAAAACCTCCACGCGCACGGGAAAAAGAAGCCCACGCTAGAACACCAAATGAAACGCTAACATGAAGTTGAAATGTCTCGACACGGTTTGAAATCATAACTCTGATGTGTGCTTTGGATTTGGTGGTGATTATTGTCTTTGTAAGCTGTGCACATCTTAACGTACTATCTAATCCGTATGCCGGCATGACACCTGCACAGTTGTAAAGCCGACGGTATTTACAAAGCGAGCTAACAGTGTTGGATTGAGTTTCGTCCGTACTGGGGTAAATCACGGCCTTTGTGCTACAGATGGACCTCGGTTACTGCATTGAGCCTCGAAGATATTTTTGCACTGACGTGTTGCGTCTTGCGCACGATACGACCTCTATGACACCGTCACAAAAATATGGTTCTCTCTCAGAAACAGTTTGATGCAGTGAACAGAATAATATTTACAGTTTCAGAATTCTTTTCTTTTTAAATCTCATTTCACAAAGTATTAAAAGGAAAGCTTTTTCTTCTTTTTTTTTTCTTCTTCTCATCGACAACAAAAATGACATTTATAAAAAAGGACTGTGAAAATATTGTAGTCCTCTTATTGCCCAAAATAGGTAATCATGGTTAACAAGACATCACAATAAACATAGAACAGAGCTACTAAGATTTTTTTTTTTTGAGTTACCCACTCATTGCGGTTTAGGCTTGAATTAAAAATGTCTGAGTCATCTCGATCCGTTTTCTTGCTCGAATGAAATGAAACCTGAAAACGCGGTAGACGAGGACTGTGAAATGAAACTGCTATTGGAATATTACTACCTCAAAAAAAAAAAGAAAAAAAAAAAGACATTAGTTTATGCTTACATAGTCGCTCTCGTCAGAGAACTTTCAAGAACAATGAAGAACATCTAGAAACTCAAATAAACGTGTACACAATTAAAGATGACTAAAAGGAAAGACAATAAAGGAAAAGTAAAATCCTAAGTCAAGGTCAGGGCTACACTAGGATAAAATATTCAAAAGCCAGGTTTTCAGTATAGTACAGCAGAGTTTTTTTTCTTTTTTTCTTCTTGCTGAGATGATTCTGACGTTTGGGTTTGTTCTTCGTGTGGCGCCATCTCAGCTTTAGATTCCCGTTCAGCGCTGTAGTGCTTGAAGTTTAATGGCCTTTACCTGTACACAGAACCAATTAGAAACTCCGGCCAGTCTTCCCCGGGCCTCCTGATAAACTCTGCTGAAGCAAACACACAAGTGTATCAGATTTCACACATATACTTCAGGTAAAATGCCTGGTGTGGGTGTAAAATGTGCTGCATCTGAGCCTTACTGGTGACAATCATTTAATGTCTTTAACTCTATGAACCTTGTCACGGACACATTTGACTGTATGTTTCTCATCATAAAGGCAGATTTGTAGATAAATACAAGACTGTTCAAAAAATGTGGGGTCAGTAAGATCACTTTTAATACTTTTATCCTGCAAGAACCCATTCAATTAACCAAAACTGACAGTCAAGACGTTACCGATACGTCACAACAGATTTCTATTGAGCACAACTGTTTTCAACATTAATAATAAGAAATGTCATTTGAGAATCCGCATACTAGAATGATTTGTGAAGGATCATGTGACACTGAAGACTGGAGTAATTCAGCTTTGCCATCACAGGAATAATTAGGGATGCACCAATATGAACATTTTGGCTGATACCGATCATTTTTTTAGATTTGAAAGCTGATAACCGATATATTTGCCGATAAATCCAAATTTTTGTACAAAAAAATCTTACTGGCCCCAAACATTTGAACAGTAGTGCAAACTGTGTCTGTGTATAAATGTCTTTTCAATACCTGGTTTTATTTGTTATTTAATATTAATGTTATTTATTTATTTAATGGGTGAGTTGGGTCGGATAGTGAAGCAAAAGCAGCCTACAAGTGTAAAGCATAGAATTAAAGTCCTTCAATACTATTTAAACTGCATCACTGATGCCTTTGATTTAGTATTATTCTAAAAGATGAAAAATAGTAATCAAGAATTAGCAGATGTGTCCAAACTTTCAACTGGCAATGCACTAACATTTTGTACAATTCAAATACAATTTCACTTCAGTCAAACGTTTTTTCTAATAAAACTGAGCTTTTTAAAAGCATACATTGTCTTTGGAAGTGCAGTGTGTTTGATAAACTGATGCTTCTGATTGTACACGGTAAATCTAGTTTAAACAAAGTGTGTATCGATTCAGTCCGGCTGAAAGTTTGCTGCTGACAGCTTTAAATTGAAGTAGAGATGTTATATCGTTCACTATCAGAATCACTCCACCGTCAGCATCTTTTCATTATAAGCTTGGGTCCTGTAGGCTCAGATACAGAACACATCAGCACTTTTATGCAAACACATCTCATCTACATGGAGTTCAGACACATATGTTAGTGTTTCAAGCATGCAGAAACTCTTCGGATGTCCATCCAACCAGGAAATGACAAGTTAAGAACCTGCTTGTCCGCTGCTGTTGCTTTCTCTGACTGCTGATGTGTACTTCAATCAAACGTTTGCAGAATCCATACAGATGGAGCGATTCTACCTACTCATTAAATCAATCATCCGTTTTGCCTCGAGGACAAAATGAGAAGCTCTTTAGGAAGATTATGGGCAACAAACCGCAGTCCGCAGGCCTCTTATCCAGACGACAGGTCACAGGTAAATGCCACGGAGCCACAGAGTCTGGCGTAATCGCAACTGAAGCATCACCGCAGGAGATAAAAAAAAGTCTGGGTGCAAATATTAACTAAGTATAGGGGAGGGATTTTGACCAAATAAATGCGCATCCACTTATCCACACACAGCGCATTTAAATAAGCGAATCATCATCGATTTAGCTCTATCTGGCATCTCAGCATATACTCAAAATCACCTTTAAGTCCTTAAGACCGAGATATACAAGAGAAGTGATTACGGAAACAGCGCCTTATCCGAAAAACCTGATGAATTACATCAGATGGCACCTAAGTCAACAGATTCTCAGCAAAGAGTGCTCGCTTCCAGGTGCACACTAATCAAAGCCGCAACACCTGTGCATAATATCCAAATACAGCACTTCATAGAGGACACGAGTCGACGCGCGGCGCAAAAGAACTCTGGCAGTGAAAGAAAGCAACTGCGCAGTTTTGAGTAGACCCGCTCGCAGACATCATGCATGAAAGATCAGTCGAATGACAGACAGGCAGGCGGCGGATAAAGGAGCAACTAGTGACAAAGAGTAACGGGGAAAATGTGTAGCCTCCGCGCTCACGATGTTTGAGAAGCGGGAGACACTTTTAAAGGCTTTTAAAAGGCTTTAAAATGAGGATTTAATAACATAGATGTTCAATGAGAGATAAGACTTTTGAAATCCAGATTGTTGCATATGAAGTTTAAATTCCCTTGTCTGGGACGTAAAAGCCCTTTAAAAGCCTTAAGGTGTTGATGAAAAAAATAAATAAAAAATAAGAGCACTACACGGCTTCAACGTAAACTCATCTGAGATCAAAAGGAGAGGGAATCAAAATGAATAGGCAGATGGAACAGGAAGATAGTATGGTGAATAGATGCATAATTATGATGCACAAGTAAAAAAAAAATATATATATATATATTTATATTTCATAAATGGTATGGGATATCTACCTCAAATGAGATGGCAACCAACCACCTGTTAGGTTTCAATGGTATCCATTTGTAAAAGCTGTCGCAATCAAAGGACCCTAAAAGTGTACAGTTAGTAATGGTGTCAGTATGCATTCTGAGTGAAGTGATCACTCGTAAGTCATTTCAATCATTGCATGTGTTGCTAGCATGAATGAATGTTATCTATCAACCTTAAAGATCAGTCCACATCATTCCCTCAGTCTGATCTAGCTGAACAGCAGGAGAGTGCAGGAATAACTGTAACACATAGTAAATGTAATTGGTCATAACTTAATGCACAATACACACCGTGGCCATAAAGATATTTTAACACCTGAGCGGTGGGTGCATCAAACATCAAACCCTATTTGAAAGAACAAAATCCTGTCCACTACCATAGCTTGCAATAGGTATCAGTAATATTACAACGTTTTAGTCACGTGACATCCATCAGACTTTTAAAGGCTGCACGACTGAAACGTTGCTACAGTAGTGTGGAAGCAAGTTCAGCAAGAAAGTTGTTGTAAACATAAATGTAGTTGTAATTATACTAACAATAAATCAAATAATACAACCTTTTAAACAATTCTCTCTTTTTAAAATTAGGCCTGATATAAAACAAAAAAAATCTTTTTTATAAAAACTTAAAACAGACTATAAAACTTTCAGACTAACAGTAGACTAACAATTACAAACTATAATTATTCACATCATATTAATTTTTCATCCGTTACATTTATCGCATATCAAATTAAGCAGCAAATTGTTTAATGTCTGAATTAAGATATGGGCTGGTATTAAAGATATTTGAGGTTAATTTAGGCTAAAATGCTGAGGAAAAATTAGCAAAAAGTATTACATTTATTCCTGCTCTCCCCTTTTAAATGTTTTTGTGCCAAACAATCAAGCAAAATGGAAAGAGATATGTACATTTCAAAGAACAAGAGAGAATGGAAAGTAAGAGAACATATTTGATTTTTTTTTTAAAACAAAGATCAAGTAATTGAATATAATCATTTACATTCATGCCAACAATAACAACATTAATGAATTCATCTGAAATCACAATTCATGCAGCAAGATACAAACGCTGTCAGAAATCACATATAAGCCTCAATCTGAGCAGCGAAACTGTGAACTTCACCAGTGTCAGGCGCCGGTCCAAACACTGGGGAACAAGAAGACTGGCGAGATGTATACATTTATAGAAAGAAATCTTTTCTTTTCAGTTTGTGAGGATGCTACAGAGGCTAAGAGAAACAGCAATTCATGTCAGGCAGAGCAAAAAAAAAACAAAAAAACCTCCTTCTGCCTCCAGAACACTGTCAATCACAAGCGAGATGTTCTGAGGGTTTGAGGCCAACCTAAATTTGACTCTATTTAGGTTAGAAAAACTCATTCTGAAAGTCAAGCACAAGGTGACATTGTTATTCTGAAAATCCCGTTTGGATTTAACCCTCTGGGGACCAGAAACGCGCCCGCGCGTTTTGCCGTTTTTTTTTCACATAGCAGAAAAATAGACTTAAAATACTCTGTTGATTTTGATCGTACATATAAGTGTTATACATCAATCGATCCTGTTAATTGTCTATTATTTTTCTGTATACTCACAATAAAAACAAAGTTTTGTGCTTTTTGTCAAATAAAGAAAAATAAACATGATGCGAGTTTTGCCTTCTCTCTGTCAGTGCAGTCCATTCTGAAACACGTCCGAAAAATTAACTCTAACTCTGCAAATACTTGTCATACAGGCACGAGAGGTTTTTCTTTATGAAGCTTGAATTCTCTTCTTTTTAATGATGTAATTTATATAAAAAACAAATATTCTCAGTTTATGTAATCTGTATGAAAAGAGAGTGCTGTCAGATTTTTTTTCCCCAGCTCATTACACTTCATTACGCGTTAATCTGACACGCCCACGGAGGACGCGCGCTATTCAAACGCAAATGTCGAGGCAAGCCATGACAATGCCCACATCAGCCGTTCCACCGCGGCGGTAAAATGTGGGGTGTATTTGCTGCCTTTTACCGCCAAGAGGCGCTACAATCATAGACTCTGAAAAGTGTTTGTTTATTCTCTCTAATGCGTAATCTGCTGCCGCACCGCACTGATTCAGAGCGTTTGAAAGCTGGTAGCAGATGAATTCAACAAGTGAAACGTAGTTAAAATAATTCATAATCAGAATACTGAAATTAGGCTACTGAAATGAAATTGAATAAATAATGAAAAAGTAAAACATTGCAATAAAAACAGTCACAGACGTATAGACGATAGCTCAGTGGTTAACGCAACAACACGAGCTTCGAGGAGCTTCAATCGACTCGGATCGAATCTCAATGTAGCATACATGTTGTTAACCGATGTTGCCCTACAGCGTTTATGTTTAACCTTCTTGATGCTTAAATAGCTAACTGTTTATAACTGTTTACTTATTTAAAGTCAAGAGTTTTGTTTAATTATTATTACAACATAAATTTGCTACATTCCTGTAGAACCGCAGCCGCTGCACAAAGGACAAAAACTGATGAAGGAAGATTGTCAGCCGATTGCATCAGAAAATGAAAATGAAGAAGCACGTCTTTAGTCTGCTAAATTATTGTGTAATGTAAAAGAACACTAAAATTACTTAAGTTTGAAACCAAGTTCGAACATTTCAAGGTTTAAATAAAGTGTCGGGACAGTTTTTTTTATTTAAAACAGGGTTGCATCGGGTTTAGAGTTTATTTCTTTTGCGATGCAAAATAAGAAACACTAGGCTAATCTTATTCTTGCGACATTTTAAATTTGTATTGCCAAAGAAATGACAGCTATATTAAACAATTAAAACAGTAGGCCTACAAAACGAAAATTGTCCAAAGCAACATAATTAAATTAAAACATGCGTTTTTCTTTGCCTCTCTCGCGCTGAATCTCTTTTTAACAAGTTTATTTAGTCTCCCTCGCTCTCCATATGAAAGAGGAACATTAACACCTATGCCTATTGTCCTGCGCGCTCGATACAGCACTGAACTGTCCCTCCAACCCCCCACCGGCTATTGGAGTCTGAGGCTGATTTAACACAAAGAGAAGTCACAATTCACACTTAAATCGCTATTCTAGACAGTGTTGATAATGAAGGAATTAAATGATTTAAGTTACATGTAGCCTAGTGATATTTCTGTCATAAAAGCTTATTACTAAATATTTAATTATTTCAGTAATTGATGAAATAAAACTGGTTTGGGCCAGCTTTTTCCAAGCAAAACTAAATATAATCTGAAAAAACGCATGTTAATTTGTTTTCATGAACAAAATGTTCAACTCAATATTAAAGTCTACAGGGATCTTTGGATCCTTTCAACCAGGCATGCAATTTGTGAATTAAGTTTTTTTATTTTTATTTTTTATTCAAATAAATATCGAACCACGGTGCTTCGTGGTAATGCTGCTAAATTAAATAACATGTATTGAATAATTATGAACTTAAATGAAACAATATCGCAACATTTCGACAAATGCATTATTTGATCTGTTTTTACATTTTAATTCAGGGCGATTTAGCCTGCTACATTTAATTAGAGCGAGATTTTCACCCTTGTCTTGTCATTTTCTCATTGGGAAGCG